TTTGAATGTTTCTTTATGTCATCCAAGCCATTTACTTGCCACTCATGTTTAATACCTGTAAATTTCTTCTTAATGGCATCTTTAGAGCTAGCATAAATCATCTTGCTTTTTAAAGGTGCACTTTCAGGAGCCCAGAATATAAATACTAGGTCTTCTTTCTTAGACTCTTTTGTTTCGTATGTGGCATCGTACAAAGCATATCGGCAATCATTCAGAGGTAGCAACTTCACAAAAGATGTGTAGGGGTCCTCTACAGTATCACCAATGTCACCCACCAAGATCTGCTTTGCTTCCTCTACAATTATTTGTCTTTTGTCATCGCTTAAACAGAAGAGAACCGCTTTCTTTCTTTTTTTGATCTCTTCTTGTGTAGATGATTTCCTTACTTTCATATCATTAAAAACTTTGATGACTTCATCATTCACTGTAACTCCAGAAGCCATAGTGCCCGCGGCTGTGGCTGCGCGGCTGGGCTCCGGCTCGGCGGCACAGGGAGGAGGCGGAGGAGGGGCGGGGAGCGGCGAGTGCCTCCATTCCCCTCTTAATTCCCTTCTCTACATGCATCCAGAGTAACCTTTATAAAATGCAAATGTAGCGCCTCTGCTGCCAATCTTTTAGTGGCACCTCACTGCTCTTAGGATGAAGTCCAAAATCCTTAATATGGTCTAAGAAGTCCTGTGGGTCTGGCCCCAGTCCATCTCTCTAGCCTTATTTTAAGGCCCTCTCTTCCTGGCTCTCTATGCTCCAGCTCCAGCAAGCTTTTCCAATTCTTCAAGTATAATGCTCTTTTGTTTCAGGGATTTTGCTGTTGTTTCTATCTGGAATACATCCCCAACCCCTGGCTAAACTTACCACATCTCACTTCGCACCCTGTACTTCTCCTTAAGACACTCAGCACCCCAGAAGTAACTTGTTCCATGTCCTTCTCCCCGACTTAGCATGAGGGTAGAGACTAGGTTGTGCTCACTGCTGTACTCCTGCTTCTGGTCTTCTGGTTTGGACAACTGTCAAATCTTAGCTTGTTTGCCAAGCGTAGGTGGGTCACCTGCCCCAACTTCGGGGAACTGCCAAGTTCTTATTGGCTTGGGCCAAACTTTCTCAGGCACAATCACTCCCAAAGTGGTGGACTTTGTAAATCCAACCATAATTCTGACAGCATCAAGCTTCCTTCACGGACTCCATGGGTATAGAGGACATAATGTTCAACCAGAGAAGATCACAGCTCATCTGCCCTATACTCAAACACCTCTGACCTAACCTGAGGTCACCTTTACCCAGAAAAATGTCATTCTTTCTCCTGCCTTTCCTCACCTCCTTTACTACTTATCACTACCTCTCATAGTATCTTCCTTGAGGGGAAGTCTGTCCCACCTCAGAATATATGACAATCCCTCTTCATCAGTCTAGGTCTGTGGTCGGCAAACCATGGCTTGCGACCCACATGCGGCTCTCTGGCCCCTTGAGTGTGGCTCTTCTACAAAATACCATGTGCGGGTGTGCACGATTGAAACTTCGTGGCCCATGCGAGAAGTCGGTTATTTTGTGGAAGAGCCGGTATTTTCGCCTCACGAGCCACATGCGGCTCTTTGGCCCCTTGACTGTGGCTCTTCTACAAAATACCATGTGCGGGTGTGCACGATTGAAACTTCGTGGCCCATGCGCAGAAGTCGGTATTTTGTGGAAGAGCCGGTATTTTGTGGAAGAGCCACACTCAAGGGGCCAAAGAGCCGCATGTGGCTCGCGAGCCGTGGTTTGCCGACCACTGGTCTAGGTCATTACAAATTAGTATTACCGCCCCCCACCATATCACTTTTTGTGCATCACACTCATTTACTGTTCATTCAACAACTATTTGTTGAGCACCTACCATGTGCCAGCACTTCTATTCTAGGTACTGGAGATCCAGCTGTGAGCCGAACAGATATAGCTCTGACCTGTGGAATTTATAACCTACTGTATACTTTCACTAGTTTACAGATGAGAAAACTGAGGCACAGAACAGTTCATGGAGCCCCAAGACTGCACAGCTTACCGCAAGTGGCAGAGCCAGGATGCAAACTCAGACAGTTGGGCTCTAGGGTCTCTGTTCTCTACTACCCTCTATTGCTTCTCATCCAACCCAAACTGCTTTTGTTCTTAGGACACACATTTTGTTCATTCCTGCACAATGCATTGCATTTGCTGTTCATCTGTCTGGAACCTTCTCCCCCAGGTTCTCACAAGGCTGATGCCCTTACTTTATTCAGATTTCTGGTCTATTTAGGGAGAATAGTCTTCCACAACCACCCCATCTAAGATAGCCCCTTCTGCCCTAGCCCATTTGTCTCAGTGGGTAGAGCATCGGCCTGCAGACTGAAAAGTCCTGGGTTCGATTCTGCTCAGGGGCACATGCCTGGGTTGTGGGCTTGATCCCCAGTAGGGGATGTGCAGGAGGCAGCCTATTAATGATGCTTGCTCATCATTGATGTTTCTATTGCTCCCTCTCTCTTTCTCTCTGAAATCAATAAAAAATATATTAAAAAACCTATCCCCTTTTTTAACTCCTTATTCTCCACCTCCTTCCTTTCTTAATTTTTCTTTTACTTCTTATCACTACCTGAATACCTATCTGTGCTTATCATCTGTATACCCCAGCCCCAGGATGTAAATTCCATGAGGGTGGGCTTCCAGCGTGCTGACCACTGAATCCTCAGCACCTGGAACAATGCCATCCACAGAGCAGGTGCTCAACAAACAGTTGCTGATGAGTGAATACACGAGAAACGGGGGAAGGAGGAAGCCTGAGAGTTCTGGGGAACAAATGAAAAAGCAAGCTGTGTGTATTTCACAGTTGCTATTTGAAAAATTATCCACATTCCAAAAACCCCATATTGATTAAGGGTAATGGGCCAAAGGCAGAAAAAAGAGGCATGTTTAGGATCCCAGGACACAGAGACAGGTGCCCTTCAACACAGGGTTGGGGCATCCCCCCCTGCTGCTCACATGGGGACTCATGACAGTGGCCTTCAATGAGTAGCACTTACCCTCGAGGACAGAGGTCATGATACTGACCACACTCATCGCCCTTTGGATTCGGAAGGGTTCATTCAAGTATTCTGCTGTTAAGAAAGTCTTCTTTTGTCCTGCTTCAGACGCCTGCTGGGACACAAGCAGAGTCAGGGCACTCCCCAGACTTGACTTAATGGTTTTTCAGTGGCAAAGAAAGCTCACTCGGCCTCTATCGGCCAGTCTCTTGTAGCTGTGAGCTGCCCAGTGAAGCTGGGTCCCTCAGCAGTCTCGCTCAGAGAAACTGGGCTGCTCCTTGAACTTGGGATAAGAACTCAAGCATGACGAGCAGGACACAGAGCTGGGGTGCAGCCCGAGCCCAGGTCTGCAGCTAACAGAGTGGCCTGGGCTCACCTGAGGCTCTGCAAACTCCTGCCCTGGGACAGGGACCTGGCACCAGGGTAGGGGAGGGCTTTTACCAAATGGAGAGGAGCAGCAGGCCAGGCAGTCATATGAGATGTCCTCTGGGCTGTGCATATGACATTCACACAGAATGTGCATGGTATGTATACTACTCCACGATAGACTTTCTGGACCTCCCTTCTCATTGGCCCATTTCCCTCTCCACATATAACCCGGGTCCGAATTCCACACAGTCTCTTTCTCTCTGAGGGACATTTGTGAGCGTCCACTGTCCAGTTTTCAATTATCTGACACAATCCTTTTGACACTTCCCTCTTTGGGCCTTCGATCAGAAGTTCTGTCTGGGTCCTATGCCAGGCCCCAACCTCTATCACCCACATCCCCTGGATGTGGGGAGTCCAAAGCCCACAGCACCTGATTGAGCACCGCACAAACCATTCAGAACCCAAATTCAGCAACCATTTATTGAGCACTGACCATGGCTGAAGCTAATAGGTATACAGTAAGTGCTTAATACATATAAAGAAAGTTTCCAATCATAAGGGCTCAACCAAAGATGCTAGCAGATACTGGAGTTATTCGTTAGACTCCTGTATATAAATATAGGCACTTTCTGATTCCATTAAAACCTTTAACTATTTAGAAGCCTTTTTATAAGGGTAGACATGGAGGTGTGAAGAACTTAAGGGACTTGCTAAAGGTGACTCAGTCAGTAAATGACACAGTTGTGATTGAAACCCAGGTTTGTGTGACACAGAAGGGCTTAAAGACTTAATCCTGCACAAGCCAAATAATTTACCAAAAATGTATCCAAGTTGGAATATCTAGGAAAGTAGTAATCTAGGGATCAATAATAAGGTTTCTTAAATGAGGCATTTTCTAGAAGGTTAGACACCCCTGAAGGGGCCCTGCAGACTCGCTTTGACTTCAGGACTCTGTGCTGGGGATTCCTGTCGGTCCTTAAAGACCTATTCTCTCTTCTCTGCCCAGTCCTGTGTACGCATCACCCTCACCCTCTGGCTCTGGTTGGGTTTGACCAATGGGAGGCACAGATAGGAGATCAGAGGCTGGAAGGAGACAGGAGCCCTGAATCTAGCATCTGGCTTCCCCCTGCTGGGCGGTGGCTGGGCCCTGGCTGTAATTTTCTCCCTGAGATGGCAAGTTCAGTGAAGCCGCCTCTACACAAAGCAGTAGCTCTTGCCGGGTCCTGATTCTGGTCCTTCCTCTTGTCCCTCCAGCCTCAGCACATACAGCTTCCCATGGGGCTGGTCTCTAGGGACCTCATTGTCCCTGCTTAGCTCCCAGAGCCCTGCCCACTCCCTGAAAGTTTTCCTCTAAACTTTTGCCCGTTGGAGTGGTTCCTTCATCTGCTTCTTGCTGGCATCCCATCAGAGATGCAGCCGAGGTAACTCTGTAAGACTTATCCAAGTCAGAAGAGCCATCCAGTGGTCTGCTCACAAGTCCATTTGCAAACTGCTGTGTGTGAGAGGCCAGCCAGGGCAACCAAGAAACACTAGCAGCATCATTACTGCACCTGGATGGAGAGCTGACATCTAGCATGGCTCCCCATCCAATGAGGAGTCCCGGCTTGGCATTACATTCTGTGATTATTCTATTGAGTGCTGACCATTCAGTCACTGTTGCCTACTTTGCTTCTGCTCAGGGCACCTGCTAGGATTTCTCTGGGCCCCATTAGCCAAGCCCAGAGTAATTTGCACAGAGCCCCAGGGAGGCGGAGAATCTTCCATTTTCACTTACTTATCCAGAGAGCAAGCAGACCTATCTCTAAAGCAGTGGTAGGAAGTGGGGACAGAGAAACACTGAAGGAAATATGGGATCAACTGGAAAACAATTTTTATTCCTTTACAGAGTAAACCAGAAAACCTGTTTGAACGCAGGTCAACCCAACCTCTCTTTCTGGGTCTCACTTGTCCAGTCAGTAAAATGGGGATGAATAGGAGGTATTGGGCAGAATGAAGTCTAAAGGACCCTTTCATGGGTGACACTCAGAACGCCGTGGCCCAAGGCCTCTAACTGGAGAGCAGCCCCAAAGAACACTCCCAAACTCACCGAGCCTTCTGTGACTCCAGGTCCATGCTCACCAGTGGGCAATGGGGGGTGTCCATCCTCTTCATGCCCTGATCCAGGGTTGGTGGCTTGAGGCAGCGGGCTCTTAGGGAGAGGGCCTGGTTGGTTGGTACTCCCACCCAACAGCAGGGAGCCCCGATAGCTGTCGCGGTCTCCAAGAAAGACTCCATCATCTGCGACCCCATCAGGGAATGAGCCGTCTCGGACAGGGGCCCGGAAATGGAACACACTGCCATGGCTAGCCCGGCGTCTCCCAGAGGTGAGGCCTAGGAAAGACTGGGCATTGCCCCAGAGGAGCAGGAAAGGAGGAGGCTGGAAGCTCGCCCTGCAGGACAGTCTGGAGCCCAGCACCTGGCTCTGCTCATTCCCATTTCCCTACCCTTATTCTCATGACCATGTAGCAGCAAATGAAGGACACGGATCTAAGGGGTCGTCTAGGTAAACATGAGGGGAGGATAGGGGAAAATATTCTTGACACAACCTGGGGAAAAGCCAACAGAGATGACAGATTATAGGGTGCTTAAGATCAGCAAATAGGTCCTCATGGCCAAAGACATGTTAGAGGACAACCTTGTGGTTCAATCAGATGTGTCATCTGTTATCCAGCCTTTGGCCATCGGGCTACTCCACATGCAAGTTGTGACCTGAGGAGACTCTGTTATGTGAACTAGCTCTGGAACATGCTTGGTAAAGTGGTTGTTGAATGACCCAGTGCACTTTATGACCGGAAAATTAGGTTCTACAATTCATTAGACTCAGCCTACATGTGCGGCAAAGGAGAAGACAAGAGCTTTGCCATGCAATAAGCTTCCAGGATCCCTTGAGGCAAACTTTGAATAGTCGACAATGGGGAGAATGAGGGGAGAGTTACAGCCTAATTTCCTTGAAGAATAATGACATTCCTCCAAATCAATAAACATTTCCCATCAAAATCTGCCTCTGAGGGAATTGTGTGACCTACAGTTGCCAGAGAAAAGAAATTAATTCATAGGCCCAGAGCTCAGGGAGGGTCAGGTTGCTGGGTGAGCTAGTTCCCATGGCCATCGTGGGAACCTGACCATAACAAGTTATCAATTATGTCCATAGGTCATATAGGTATTTCTAAAATCTAAACACTGACTTCCTACCAAACTCTGATCATACTGCTGAAAATTTTCCCTTTCCTTACTTCTGTGGACAAAAAAGGGGACACATACTACACCTGACAAGCTCAGGGATGGCCTGCAAGAGACCTAATGTAATGAAATAGGATGGTCTGAATGAAAACTTCCTAACAAAAGGTGAGTCGTGGCAGGCAGTCATGTCCTAGGCCAGTATCTTCATTGGCAAAGGTCAATTTTACCTTAACTGAGCCTATCTATCATCTTTTTGCATCTATGATAACTTACCTTTGGAATGTCAGGGTAATTCCCCTTTTCCAGGACATAATCTCCCACCAGAATATGAGACCATAGAATCCCTGATTGATATCTTGTTCTCCCACATACCATCTCTATGTGCTGTAAATGTTAACTACCCTTTATCCACCAATGTAAAAGAAGTATGTGTCTCTATCCAATCTCCAAGATTTTCCCAATTTTGCTTTCTCCCCTTTTCCTAATCTCCCACCCATGGAACCCCCTTACATCCTCCCCTTGGATGCTGATGTATAAAATAAGTGTGAAAACTGCCATTTTCAGGAGCATTTCCTCAGTCCGTTGGGATTCTTGCTTTCCAGCAAGTGTCATTAATTTGACTCAAACAAACTCATAAAAATTCTCTACAGTCCTGGCCTACATGGCTCAGCTGGTTGGGTATGGTCCCGGGTACTGAGGGGTTGCTGGTTCAGTTCCCTGTCAGGGAATATGCCTGGATTGCAGGCTCAATCCCTGGTGGGGGTCATGCAGGAGGCAGCTGGTTGATGAGTTACTTTGACATCAATGTTTCTCTCTCTGTTCCCCCCCTCCTCTCTCTCTAAATATCAATTTTAAAAAATTATTTACAGCTTTGGACATTTTTTACATCAAGAATTTCTTTTATTTACTAAACTACCAAAATTGAGACATCTTGTCCGTTAGCATTCTCCTTACTTATCCCCTTAACTCACAGAAGTTTCCCAGCCATCATTGAAATCCTGAGATTGTAAACAGAGCACTCTTTGCCTAGGATATATGTCCAAGGAACATGGGACTCATAAAATCCACAAACCCTTCTCACTTTTGAAGCAATGTAGCAGAGTCAATAAATACTTATTAAAGATTGGACAACCAAATAATTTGCACCTGGGCACTAAGCAAACCTATAAAGAAAGGAGGAAGAAAATTTTTTGTCCCATATTTGACAGGAAGTGCTTCCTTAGCCAACAATTAATATTTCAAAATTAACCTATTGTGGGCAATGACTTCCCTTTTTTGTTAATCCTTACCTGAGTATTTTTTTTCATTGACTATTTTAGAGAGAGTGGGGGGAGGAGGGGGTGGAGAGAGAGAAATATCAATGTGAGAGAGACACATCGATTGGTTGTCTCCTGCACGCACCCCAACTGGAGCCAGGAATTGAGCCTGCAACTGACTTATGTGCCCTTGACCGGGAATCAAGCTCCAGATCCTTTGGTTCCTGGACCGACGCTCTAAATCACTGACCAAAACAGGCCAGGGCAGCAATGACTCCTGATTTGAAGCATTAGACTTGCCATAACATGCATCATCCAAGCAGACAAACCAGTTTCCCGCGAGTTCCCTGAGACCCTGACTGTGTCTTTCCTAGCTACCTCCAACCATTCTCTCACTTCTGATGGTAAGAAAATGGCTTTGTATAAAAACTGCCTATGGTCTCTTTACCACACGAATAATCCGGGGAAAAGAGGAAGGGAATGCCTTCTTGAATGGCCTCCAATTAACCAGGTAGCTTTAAAGAATTACCCAAATGGCATCTTCCTGTCTTTGCTTGTACATGTTCTTCTTTGTGCCTGGAAAATATAACTCCCAAATCCTCCCAGGCCTCAGTTACTGGAGGAACCCCTACTCACTATTTACTTTTCATTTTAATGATTCTCTCCCCCAGTGAAGCCTTTCCTGATACAGCCCAATCCTGTAAGAGTTGTGTTTCCTCTTCTATTTCCCAAACACCATTTACTTGTCCCTGATACAGCATTTAACATGTATCTGTTTTTATGCCTGCCACCTCCATCCAAATGGCAGTCCTTGGGAAACAGACCATGTTTTATTAATCTCTTCATACCAAGCACCTAGTATTGTTGAATGAACAAGACATAGTTCCTCTTTTTTCCTTGGAAGGTGAGCATAGCTGGAAAGACAACCACATACACCCAACAATTATTGGAAATCCAGGTGCTGAGTTATGGGGAAATTTAAAGCCCAATCCAGAGTATCACTGACATCTCCTTGAAGCTGAAATTCATCCTGATTGTCCAATCCCTGGTCAAATCCCCTTTGAAACTTCTTCTGAACTGTGCCCTGTGCATGCCAGGTGTTCCTCAAGAGGCAGAGCAAGGAAGGGAAGGACACAAACTCTGATAAATACTAAAGTGTGGGTGTCCCTGAGGCCAGTGTGCAGGTGAGTGTGTCTGTGTGCTTGTTGCACACACAAGTTTGAGGGTTGTACAGATGCTATTCCAAAAAGTAAAATGTCCTTCAGATGAGCACAGGAAAAGAGATTGAGAAGGAAGTGAGAGTCAGAAGGCCCCCAAATAGCCATTTTATCCCCTTTCCCATACTAATAGAGTGGTTACTATTGTACCACAAAGGGGTCATTATCTCTCAGGCGTGTGGAAAGGCCATAGGTGGGGTACACAGGACTTTGAAGGGAGAAGAAGGTGGTGGGAGGAAACTTGGTGAGTACCGTGAATCTTAGAGTGGGAGGCAGAGGCTTGCTGTGGGGCAGAACTGCTACAGGATCTGCAGTGAGGTACTCAAGTTATTCCCAGACTGGATACTATCACAGAGATGGGTGCTGGGATCTTCTGTGCCAACAATAGGTAGGCACTTGAGCGGTAGGGGCTGAGGCATGAGGTCAGAAAAAAGCTTGCAAATGATTTCAGCACCACGGACAAGAACCTCCCTCCAGGTTACAGAATGGCAGGCAGTGAGTGTGTCAGAAGGAAGCTGACTCAGGAGGACCACAGGTCCACAGACACCTGGAAGATATCGTGTCCAATATGGGTTCACCACTTTCCAACACACTTAGCTTCTTCCTCCGGTGCTCCTGACTTAGAATCACCACCCATCTAATTGCCCAAGCTTGAAACCCGGGAGTCATTTCGAACTCCTCTACTTTTTCCACACTCCACGGTCCCAGTCTTGTTGATTCCATCCCTACCCATCAAAGTCTTTATAATCCACCATCTTTTCCCATCCGTAATGATCCTGCCCTGGTATAGGCCACAGTTTTGGGGGCTGGCTCACTAAAACAGCCTCCCAAGGTCTGCGCCTCCAGCTAGCTCCCTGTTACAAACCGACGTATACAACAGCTGCAACGGTGGGTAATCTTTAGAGCACAAACCTGAGCCCCTTACCATCCTGCGTTGGTTGTAAGGCTCAGATTGTGGTGACTTGTTGTCATCGGTGGAGCCATCTGACACCTTTGGCTTCATTCTGTGCCTTTTTTCAGTGGCTCTTTTGGAAGATAAAGGTGATCCACTGTGGGAGTGGAGAGAGGCGGTGTCAATCCCCATTGCTGCCAGCATCTGAGGAGAGAGAACAGCGGCTGTAGCCAACAGTTTCTGGTTGAGCTTAGCGTACATGTGTCCCCCAGACATGGGGTGTCACAGAGCCAAAGGCATCTGAAACAGAGGAAGTCAGGATGCGGACTTGGATGGTGGTGGGATTGAGACACGGCAGGAAGACCTACCTCTGGGTCACCTCTCTTATTCAAAGGAGACCTTGTTGATGACCTGTCCAGATCCCTTTTACCCGGTCAGGACACTCATCTCCAGCTGCTGGAGTGTTTGCTGCTAATGGCTCACAGCTGCAGCGTCCTGCAGGAAGTTTCCTTTGACTGTACATCTGGCTGGGGCAGGTATGAGGGTACAAAAGGCGGGCCCTCTTGCTTCAAGTTAGCATGATACAAGCATGCCCCAGAGTTCCCATGGGATCAGGCCAAATGTAGTCTCTAGCTGAGGCTACTTTCTCATTTAATTCTTACTCTACCCTATTCTGCTTCCTTCACTGTCCATTCTCTGAGGGCACCATCAATAAATCACTTATCTAACTTCTTCACTCAGGTTCTTCTTCTTCTTCTTAAGAAAACATGATGTGCCGAAACCGGTTTGGCTCAGTGGATAGAGCGTCGGCCTGCGGACTGAAAGGTCCCAGGTTCGATTCCGGTCAAGGGCATGTACCTGGGTTGCGGGCACATCCCCAGTAGGAGATGTGCAGGAGGCAGCTGATCGATGTCTCTCTCTCATCTATGTTTCTAACTCTCTATCTCTCTCCCTTCCTCTCTGTGAAAAATCAATAAAATATATTTTAAAAAAAAGAAAACACGATGTAAGCCAGTCCCTGAGGTAAGATGAATCTTCCTAAAGTTCCTGAGATTAAGAGCCTTAACCTAAGGGACTGGTCCAAACCTCCGCCTAAGATTGTACAGCCTTCAGACTTCACAAAGCTTCCACCCCTCACAAACCTCGTGCTCCTTCCGGAGCAGCTCGAGGGCCTCCTGGAACTTCTTCTCCTTGGCTTCGATTTCATCCATGGTCGCCTTGTTCTGCTCCTCATAGGCCATGGTGACGACGGCCAAAATCAAGTTGACCAGGTAGAAAGATCCCAGGAAGATGACAAGCACGAAAAAGACCATATAGATTTTCCCAGAAGCCCTCAGGGTCTGCAGATTCAAGAGAAAGAAGAGAGACATGTGCCCAGAGTAGATGGGCCCCTGACATTGTCAGGTTCCTCCAGGAAAAATGTAGCCATGTTGAAGCTGACCCCTTCGCCTTCAACCAAGGCTGTGTGGGGTCATGCAGATCAATACCTGCTGGTAGAGGCGCTCCCAGGAATCCTGTGTCATGAGGCGGAACAGTGAGAGGAAAGCCCAAGCGAAGGAATCAAAGCTGGTGTAGTTAAAATCTGGGTTGTCAGATGTTTTCATGCAGAAATAACCTTTAGGGCAGTGGCTGCAACAAGAGCAGAGAAGGTCATCAATTGCACAGCACCCTGTTTATTGGGGGCAAGGCAGCCTGGTGCTGTGGGGAGACTGGAATTCAAGGCCTGAACCTCCTCTTATGAGCCAGATAATCTTGGACACTTAGTTTCTTTAGGTCTCAGTTTGTCTTGCCCATTAAATGGGGGTGACAATATTCTCACTTCAGAGTTTCATGCAGAAGGAAGTGGCCCAGAGAAGTGGCCTGGCAGACTGCTCAGACATGACCCTATAAGGTGATGAGCTCTTTGCAAGTCCACACCAGGGGTGGGAGAGCTGGTATGAATAACACAGACTTCACACTTGAGCCTGTTGGCATTACCTGCAGAATTGTCCATTAAAGGAGGACTCACATTAGCCAAGTTTACCAACAAATTATATATAACAATGAAAACATTTTCCACCTACTGAGCACTTCCTCTCTCTCTCTCTCTCTCTCTCTCTCTCTCTCTCTCTCTCTCTCATGCTTTAAAATGCTATAATTTAATTGTTTTATTTAGAAGGAGAACTATAACTGTCAAGTAGCTTATGGAGACTGACCTATAAAGGAATGTCAAATTGAAGATGATTTCTTGGTGAGCATTGGGGTGGGAGTGCTGGACTCCTCTCTGTCTTAATAAGAGGGTAAGTTGATGTCGACAAATATCTCTAAGCTCAGGGCATGTGAGGTTCTGTCGTCCACTCTCGTGGGTTGGCCTGGTCAAGGAAACAGTAATGCTACACCTGCATTCTGAGTTCTACTACTCTAGGATTCCCTCACCGACACCAGCCTCTGGGGCTCTCTTTATTTCAGACGTCCATGTGAACACTCAAGCCCAGGATCCATACAACTGATTAGAGCCCCAGCAACTTGATTATAATCAATCCCAATTCCATCTCCAACCTTGGTTCCCAGATATTGTAGACACACATTTATAGTCAGCCTCTTGGTTTTCTCCCCCAAGGAGCTAGTGAACCCCCTCACCCATAGGTTTGCTAGTGAACTCTGAGGGCAATCTTATTTCTATGCCTTCTGTAGAACCCCACTGTAGCTGCTACGCATCAACAGCTAACTGCTCCGAGAATGACATGAGATTATGGTACAAAGCCTCTTGCCTGATGCCTTCAGCATAGTAATGATGATATATAAAATGTAAATTAAAATGCCTGTTGCTTTTAACCTGATGCTACCAGAAGGATGTATGTGAAAGAATGCTGAAAATCATTAAGTATTCCCTAGTATGTGTTTTCCACCTTAACACCCCAGGCTTTTCTGCCACAGGGCCCCTGGTCAGTGTGGGCCTCTGCTCAGGGCTCTGCTTGTCTGAAGGCCAGCATAGGTCCCAGGTTTGCTGGTCACGACATGCCCTTCAGGACTTACTCTGCCCATTGTCCTGAGCTGGCCTCTACTTGCCATCCCAGCTTATCCACTCCTCCACTACCTGTCCAGGACCTGCCCAACAGGAGGTCTGTCTTCTATTGGAGCTTAAGGGGGTACCCATGGATGGACCCCAGTGAATGGGCTACTCTGGAGCCATTGCCATGAGAAATGCCACTATCAGACTGGAAAGAGACATTGATGGGGCCCTATTTTAAGTTTAAGTCAAAGGCAAATGAAAGCTGACATCAGAACAATTCTCTCCCTGAGCCAAAGAACCAAATGCCAAGTGCTTTGTGAAGAAAGAGACCAGCCCTAGCCTGTTTGGCTCAGTGGATAGAGCGTCGGCCTGAGGACTGAAGGGTCCCAGGTTCGATTCCGGTCAAGGGCATGTACCTGGGTTGCAGGCACATCCCCAGTAGCGGGTGTGCAGGAGGCAGCTGATCGATGTTCCTCTCTCATCTATGTTTCTAACTCTCTATCCCTCTCCCTTCCTCTCTGTAAAAAAATCAATACAATATATTTAAAAAAAAGAAAGAGGCCAAGAAGCCTATGTTGATCAAATTCTCCTGTTTGCACCCACCCCTCAGCTCTATCTGAGATTGTTTTCCTAGTGAGCCGATTAAGGCAGAGCTCCATACAGGTACCACTAGCTCCACTTGGGCAACAGGGAGTAGGGTCATGTGGGCTTTGATCTTCCAGGCCCCCAGCCATGGAGGTGGGAGAGGTGAGCCCTTCTGATCTGTTTCCTGCACTCTTTCTGCTCACATCTGCTCCAGTGGTCAAAGAAGGAGGCAAACCTGGGGGAGGGGAGCTCCCTCTTTTCTTTGTCTCACATTCCGTTCTGCCCCCTGGAATGGCCTCCATTCAAACTCTTACTCACCCAGCCTGCTCTTCAACTCCCAACTCAACTACCACCTCCAGGAAACCTTCCCTGACCTCCTCCCCTGCCTCACACCATCACCTCCCTGTGCTGCCACAGTCCCCGGAGCCTCTAGCACAACACTGGGTCTCCACAGTGTAGCATCCAGAGCTCACAAACTGGCAGCTTGCAGGCTGAATTTGGCTTGCAGAAATATTTGGGTCCATAATATATAAACATTTTATAGATTCAGTAGCCAATGTTAACAGTTGGGAGATTTCACATAAAAATCGTAATTTCTTATTTCTCTTTTAACAGTTGGAAGAGTTGGAAGTAGTGGACCCTCATGGCAACCAAAGGCTGCACTGAGCAGTGGCTGCCCCCTTTACATGGAGCGTGAACTCTCATTGCCATGGGTCCCACCCAGCCCGCTCCTCTCATTGGTTGTCATGTGTCTGGCCTCCATAAGATTTGAAATGACAAAGTCTGATGCATGTGTTTCTTCTCTGTTATGTGAGGACAATGAGACCCATGTGATAATTAAATATGGATCATTTGACACAAAACATATTTAATAATATATGAGTTCCCTCCTGGGATAGATTGCTTGTAAAAATGGCCATGATTATTCTCCTCCCTGTATCCACACTCCTTTGCAATATGATCTTGCAGCTCCTCCTATCAAAAGGTGGAGTCTATTTCTCTACCTCTTGGATCTGGACTGACCTTTGACTTGCTTTGGTCTATAGAGTGCAGTAGAAGTTACACTGCCAGTTCTAAGCCTCAAGAGACACGTTCAGTCCTTCTCTCAGAACCCTGACTCTGCCATGAGAATAAGCCCAGGCTAGCCTTGGGGGATGAGAGACCATTCTCTCTCTCATGGAGCAGAGACCAACCACTCCAGCTGAGGCCATCCTAGATCAGCTGGTCTCTAGCTAACCTGCCCCGGAATATGCATGAATGAGCCCAGTCAATGCCAGAAGAACACCACGTTGATATCAGCACAACATTCAGATGTGTAGAATCCTGAGCTAAATAAATGGCTGGTATTTTAAGTCACAAAATCTTGGGATTGTTTGTTACACAGCAGAAGCTAATTTATACATGCTCTCCCATAGCCCTGGGGTGGCAGAAGCCATGACTTACTCATTTCCTCATTTTCTTTAGGAACTGTAGCCCAACCTCTGCCCAGAAAATGCTCATGATGCCCAACTGGCATGGCTCAATGGCTGAGCGTAGACCTATGAGCCAGGAAGTCATGGTTTGATTCCTGGTCAGTGCATGTGCCTGGGTTGCAGGCTCAATCCCCCATAGGGGGCATGCAGGAGGCAGCCAATCAGTGATTCTCTCTCTCCCTCTCCCTTCCTCTCTGAAATCAATAAAAAATATATTTGGAAAAAAAGAGAAAAAGAAAATGCTGATGACAAGAAGGAGAAAGGATTGTTGGGCGCTGGAGCTATGTCATGGGTTGGACACTCACCCTGAATCGGATCCATTGCCGCACAATAAGCGATCAGAAGTCCCTGGCTTATTGATGTAGTAGTCTGCAAAAGAAAGGAAGAAAAAGCGGGAGCTTTACATATGGTTCTGAACCCTACAACTCAAGCCTTGGGGTGAAGGCAGCACCTGTACGTCTCCCGCCCCAGTGAGGTAAATTTCCTCGGCTATGAGCCCTCAGTGGACATGCAGGACTCTTGGAAGGAAAAAGCCCCATCGGGGCAGAGAAAGGCTGAGCAGTGACTTCAGCTTCAAGCCTCTCCCAGCAGAGGCAGAATGACTTGCCCCTTGACTTCTACCTCATTTCCTTGTAAAAGGGACATTTGGTAACAGAAATAGGAAACCAAAAAGTAAAATGTAACTCTGGAAAAGCATTTGAGCAGAAAAGAGGCATCAAAATACATGTCTATATAGGTACGCAGGGGTTTCACACCCCTTGCCAACCAGACCTTTGTCATTACGGCAGAAATTCCACTCGAGTTTTTCATAAGAGGAGTAATTGGCTGTATCGTTGAGAGCGGTGCAATTCTTGACACATTTGTTCTTGAGGTTGCCCTTGAAGAGCTGCAGGCCCACCAGGGCAAAGACACCCAGACAGAAGACGGTGAGGATGGTCACATCCGCCAGCTTCTTCACTGAGTGGATCAGGGCCCCCACGATGACCTTCAGCCCTATGGGGAGATGACAGCAATACTCCCACTTGGATAAGGTACCACACACAGCACACACATGTGCCTGGCACACCTGCATCTTAACCATCCTACCCTCTCACTACGTACAGGTATGAGGCGTTTTACAAGCTCTATGGCCGTTCCAACCCTAGCTCCTCATATGAACCGATTAAAGATTATTGCCCCATTGTAAAGATGAGGCAACTGATACCAGGCAATGCATTTCTTATCATCTTAAGGCTAATACATTCCTGACAATAGCAACTCAATTAAAAAAAGAATTGTTGAGCCCTAGCCGGTTTGGCTCAGTGGATAGAGCATTGATCTGTGGACTGAAGGGTCCCAAGTTCAATTCCAGTCATGGGCTTGGGGCTTGTACCTGGGTTATAGACTCCTCCCTAGCCCAGGCCCTGGTTGGGGCTAATGCAGGAGGCAACCAATCAGTGTGTTTCTCTCACATCAATATTTCTCTCTGTTTTTCCCTCTCTCTTCCACTCGCCCTAAAAATCAATGGAAAAAATATCCTCGGGTGAGGATTAAAAATACATAAATTAATTAATTAAAGTATTTTTAAAGTTATTAAAAAAAAAAACAATTGTTGAGTGCTTGCTATATTCCAGGCATTGTGCTAATCGTGATAATCATGAGGCACCTAACTTCATTCCAGTCACTCGGCATCTGTATTTCTTTTCTTACCTCAATATCCTGGGAGAAACTTGAGGCTAAGGACACATGAACCCAGTGTGTGTGTGTGTGTGTGTGTGTGTGTGTGTGTGTGTGTGTGTGAAAAAGAGAGAGAGAGAGTGAGAGAGAGAGAGAGAGAGAGAGAGAGAGAGAGAGAGAGATCCAAGGAGACAGAATGAGACAGAAAAGAGACACAGACACAAAAACACAGAGGCAGTAGGCCAAGACCATGAGAGACACTGGAAACAGAGAATCTGAGAGGGGCTATGTCAGAGCCAAGCTCAGTTGGCAGCAAAAATGAGGCTCCTGCTCGTTTAAGGACGTATGGTTTGCTGCTCTGCAAACGAAACCACCTTCTCTGGGAGAGCAGTTCCAAGGGTAGCAGGAAAGCAGTCTGGGATTAATCCTTGCCTTATTTTGGTCAACAAATAACCCATTGAGCACTACACTGCCTGTGTCTGTCCCTGGGCTGGGAGCTGGCATGTGGTGGAGTTGTGTGACAATTGAGGGGAACTCCATGGCATTAGCCAGCAGGTGGGCACCCATAGTAGTAGCCCCTAACTGAAGCCTTGGGATGGGGATGGGGTGAGGTGGGTGTGAGGATGTTGGGAAAGACCATGAAGTCTCCACTGAGCTCCCGGTGACAACAGAGATCTTGGGGATCCAATAAGATGAGCTCTGGTGAAATACTTTCATTTCTGAATTCTCTGTAATCAGGGCTTACCTAGTTCTTTTCTCAGTGTGTCTAAAGACAGGGCTGAGGCTCAAGCTTTCAGATCTATGGAAATGGCTAAGACACTCACCAGAGCCCTGGGATGCCTCCCCCTTCCTTCTTATTTATTTCCAAGTTTTTGGTTTAAGGGATAAATGTGAATCTGACTAGACAGAGGCTTGTCTGACCTCCACAACAAGAATATAAAATAAGGACTTGACCTTCTTGTCACTTATTCATGGTGAGACCATGCGATGCTGTGGACAGAGCACTGGGTGAGAAATCGAGACCCTAGGTTTCCAGGTCACACTGTGCCTCTTACCAGTAATGAGGACTTACGATTGTGTTTTCTACTCTCTGGGCCTCAGTTTCTTTTTATAGTAAGTGGGGCCAAGAGTCCATGCCCTGGAACTTTAAGAGAGAGAGAAAGAGAAAGAGGTGCAAGGAGATATTTTATTGATTTCAGAGAGGAAGGGAGAAGGAGAGAAGGAGAGAAACATGAATGATAAAAGAGAATCATTGATTGGCTGCTTTCTGCATTCCCCCTACTGGGGATGGAGCCACCAACCTGGACATGTGCCCTGACTGGGAATCGAACCGTGACCTCCTGGTTCATAGGTCAATGCTCAACCATTGAGCCACGCTGGCTGGACCATGCTCCGGAACATTTTAGGGCTCTGGTGAAAGTCAAAGGAGGACAGTAGGCTGTGGACACCAGCACGTGCTCCATGAGTAAATGTGCTGGTTAAAGCCGCTCACCTGGAATCACAGAGACTGTTTTTAAAGCTCTAAGAACTCTGAACGTCCGCAGGCCTGAGATCCCCTGGAGATCTGTCATTGTGCTAATGTACCTATAGGACCAGAAGTCAGTCAGCATCTCTGCAAGGAGGGGGCACTGGGAAGGCATGCAGCACAGATAAGGACGACTGGGGGTGACGTGAGCCTAGGAAGGACCCAGAAGAGACAGAGAGTCCAATAGCACTTCCACCTACAGACCAACATGAGCATTGATTGACTTGTCATAATACCTTTCTGAATGGCCCCTCTGAGAAGATGTGCTGTGGGCTGGGAGGGACCCTTGTGCTACACAGATGGATGGGTATTCAAGCATGTGGGCTTGGCCAACGTCCCTTTGCAGACACTGGTTGTTCAGGAAAAGTAAGGTAAGGTAAGTATAAGGTAAGTATAAGGCTGAGCCCCGTTGATCTACTTTGACAGGCCAGTTACCAGCTCAGATTTGAGGTCCCTGAGGACATGGGACTAACCCTGGAAAGTGACCCCAAAAGTCACAGTCTATGGCAACAAACCCCCAGGCCATGCAGTTCCAAATGAGGAAGCTAGATAGCAATGAGGAAAGGCCCCTGAGTGTGAACCTGGGCATATCCACAGCCCTCCCCTCCGCCCACCACACACACACACACACACACACACACACACACACACACACGCCACATCAGGGTGGAGAAATACTCACGCCAGGGTGATGACGCTAAAATCCAGCCAGTTCCAAGGATCTCGCAGGTAGGTGAACTCATTTAGACAAAATCCTCCTGCCACGATCTTTATCAAGGCTTCAAAGGTATAAATGACGGTGAAGACATACCTGGGAGGGAGGGTGGGGAGAGCTCAGAGGGAGAGCTGCTGAGGGGGTTCCAAAGGAAACCGTGCGAAGATCCTCCCCAAGGTGGGGAAGGGGAAGAAGAAAAGACACAGACAGAGGAACTCAGAGGAATGGGCCGATTGTGTGTGGTTAAGACGATCGGCAGTATTTGCTGCTCAGATGGTAGGCCGGGGGCAATGGACGCCCCAAGTTTCCAGGTTCCTAGAGGCTCCCTGCCCTGAGGGAAGCTGGAGGCTCCTCTTCTAACCTGTTGATGGCTGAAGAGGTGAAAGAGGGCCGAACCCTGCGATATTTGTCCTCCCCCAACTTTTCTACTATGACTGTCTTTTCTTCTTATGCCATGCCCAGTCCCAGGGACCCCAGTCTAAGCCATATAAGGCAGGAAACAGCTGGGTGTCATGGAGGAAAAAGCATCTATGCCCACAAACATTTTCTCAAACCTGCCCTTTTGTTCTGTTGGTTGGATTTGAAGGGAGGGGGGTGGTGTTTCTCAAATGTTCAGAATCCCTCCGTCACCTACAGTAGTGGTTCTCAAACTCTAGCAAGCATTGGAACCACCTGGAGGGCTCATTCAAACATGGATTTCTGGGCTTGTACCCAACCTCCCCCCACAGCATTCTTAACTAAGTCAGTCTGGGGTAGAACCCCCCAAATTGTTTTTTTTAACAAGTTCCTAGCTGATGTGAATATTGCCAACCCAGGGAACTACCCTTTGTAACCACTGACCAAAGGGATCCAGATGCACACCTAAATCTTATAATCTTGGATACATTAAATGTTTTACATTATAAAACACTGGTATTAAAAACGGGAAGACTTTTTTGAACGTCCTTTTCTAAAATTCTTCTTAAATGACAGTAAAGGAATTTTTTTAAAAGCATAAACCCACTAGGACAAAGATAATAGAGAACACAACATCGTTCTGGAGAGGAGAGTGAAGATGGATGTGTGGTAACTGGCAGAGCAAACCCAAGAAAGCCGACACCTTAGTTGGAAGTGGGGAGCTCCCAGAAGCAACGCAATCCACACTGCAGAACTGCTGAGGACTTGGAGATGCTAAGTCCCTGGGGCTTTGCGGGGGGGGGGGGGGGGGGGACAAGCAGAGGCTGGAATAGTTTGAAAATCTTTCCAAGAAGCAGGGGAGCTTCTGCGATCCCACTCCACGCCAGCCATGCACTGGACATGGATTGGATGTTCATCCTCTCAAGAGGTGAACATGAGGGATAGGGTTCACACCGAGACAGGATGATAAAGGAAAAACGTACACACTGAAAGGCAGACAACCCTCCAGCCACCGGCTTCCTCCCCGCAGCATGTTCCTAGAAGCCCGGGAGTCAGGTTAATAGCCCAAGAGGCTGCACTTTTCATATGGACAGCCGGCCAACAGCATTGGGAATTTTAAGGATGCTTCTAATACCAAAGGTTAAAGAACCAAACAGGAAAGAGGAAAGGAAGAAAAGAAGGAAGGAAGGAAGGAAGGAAGGAAGGAAGAAAGAAAGAAAGAAAGAAAGAAAGAAAGAAAGAAAGAAAGAAAGAAAGAAAGAAAGAAAAAAGAAAGAAAGAAAGAAAGGCAATGCAGGGAGCAGGAAAAATTTAGAAAAAAACAACCCTGTCATTAATATTTTAGAGTTAAGAAATGAGAAGAAACTGGATACATAAAACAAGGACAGAAGGATGAAAACAAGAATATTCAAAGAAGAAACAGAACTTTTAAAATAAAAAATGTCATAGGGAAAGTAAAATATTAATGGGAGGGCTGAAGATAAAATTGAGGAAATCCCTCAGAAAGTGGAACAAAACGAAATGGACAAGAGGTGATAAAAAGGATCAAACGTAGAGAATCAGACCAATAGTTACAATGTCTAAATAATAGGAGGTTTCGAAAGAAATAGACAGGAAAAATCACCAAAGAAATAATTTAAGAAAATTTCCCCAAACTGAAGGATCTAAGTATTCAGTTACAAGTACCCAAAAATGTTGAAAAAAATGAATGAAAGGCTCATATCAAGGCATAATATCAACAGATTCAGAGCACTGTCCACGAAAGAAGCCTCTCTTTTTGAAGGAGTGACAATCACAGGTCACACACCAAGGACTGAGAATCAAAATATCATCCAGCTTTTCAAGCACAGTCTTGGAGGTTATAAGACAATGAAACAAAGCCTTCAACATTTTGAAGAAAATAATTTCTAATGCAGAATTTCTTCTCCACCTAAACTGTTAAGGGTAGGATGAAGACAATTACAGATATGCAAAGTCTCAGGAAATTTACTTCCTATCTACCCTTCTAAGAAGGTTACTAGAGGGTGTGCTCCACCCAAACAAGGAAGTAATCAATAAAGAGGAAGATGTGGGATGTAGGGGAGAGATAAATGGAATCCAAAAGAGGATGGAGAAAGAAAAAAGAAAAAATCTCTGGAAAAAGGTGTGCATCAGGTCTAGAGAACATTAAGACTAGATTGAGGCAGGAGATGGAGCATTCCAAGAGTGGTTTCCCCAAGAAAATTTGAAACTGGTGGAAAACCTGCTGTGTTTGAATAAATTGAAACAATAATTAAACCTCTGGGAACAAATTAGTGATAAATAATTAAACCTCTAAAGAGTTTGGCAACAAATTAGTGATAAATTAGTGAACAAATGAAGAAATAAAATCCTTATTAACTCCAGAGAGAGCAAAAACATGCAAAAAGAAAATATAATCAAAACACACTGCACAACTCAGCTGTGAAGGGGATTTGCTTAGCAGCACTATGATATAATCACTAGAGGCCCAGCGCACGAAACTCGTATGCGGGTACAGTCCCTAGGCCTGGCCTGCGATCAGGGCCATCTTCCCCAACTGCCCACAGTTGGCCCTGCCCCCTGCCTCCACCCACCCCCGGTTCCCCATTCGCCATCGGGTGATTGGTGCTTGATGGCTGGGGGAAGGGACTGAGAGGTAGTCATTGCGCCTCACAGTGACTGGTCCAGTAGTCATTCTAGTCATTCTGCCATTAGGATCAAGTTGCATATTATCCTTTTATAATATAGGATAGAGGCCTGGTGCATGGGTGGGGGTTGGCTGGCCTGCCCTGAAGGGGGTCCTGGATTGGGGTGGGGGGAGCCCTTTGGAGGGTGGGGCCACTGGGGCAGGGGTCACGGGGTTTTCAGGCCACCCCGCCCCGATCAGGGTGGGGGTCCCTGCTAAGACGGGGTTGGCCTGGGCGAGGGGCTGCCAGTGGTTTGCAGGCTAGCTATGCCCCCGATGGGGTGGGGGTCCCCGCTGGGGGCAGGGGCGGCCTGAGCAAGGGGCCTGGGCAGTTTGTAGGCTGGCCACACCCCCAATTGGGGTGGGGGTCCCTGCTGGGGGTGGGGTCAGCCTGAGCAAGGGGCCTGGGGTGGTTTGCAGGCCAGTCAAACTCCTGGCTTTGTCAGGAAGTACATCTGAAAGACGTCTGATCTAATTAGAATATTACCCTTTTATTAGTATAGATATGTGCAGCCAGACAATGTACATATTGTCTGATTATCTCACTAAACTTTATGGTGCAATCAATGGGAAGATGAGTGCGAGAGGGAATGAGTCTGTATATGTGGACCTAATTCTTTTTTCCCCCATAACAGAAAGCGAATAGATAACATCTAAAATGGAAAAAAAAATAGTAGTATGAGTATATTACTAGAGATAGGGAGATAGAAGAAGTAAAAATGTTGAGAGGTTTGCCTTCAGAAATATGGAATTAGAGGTGAGAAGATGAGAAAAAAGAAATTGCCTTTTTTGTTAGACTCTTTATGGAGGCGTGACCTTTTAAACCACAAGCCTGTATATCTTCAATAAAAGTAAAAATCAAAATAAAACGTGAATAGCAGTACTGGTTTTTCATATCTGTGAGGGGAGAAATAGTGTTTGAAATCACTCACGAAGAAATCTCTGGCTGGACAGCTGCATGAGCTGTCACCTTCCATATTTTGTTGGTTTTCCCCTAAACTCCACTCTTTTGTGTTGTCTGCATTAGAAAATCTTAACTCAGAATTATAGGTTGTTGGGAAGCTTTGACGGATAGTTCTGGCTTTTCAGATCAAATGCAGACTCAGAAATTATGGAGAGAATTCCCACTAAAGACAACATTCAGTGTTTCATCAGCAGATCAGCGCCCCAGCTCAGCACCCCTGAGAGCTGAGGTGTCAGAGGTCCCAACCTGGAGACATCAGCTGATTTTAAAATCACAGTCACACCCTCTCTCTCTGCTGGCACTTGGCTTGTAAGATATTTCTCCGTGTTCAGTTGCAGCATTAGGATGTGACTTGTAATATGCAAAAGACATAGCCTAAGTGCTTTTTTTCTGCTGAATGAAGAAAATCATTGGATTCTGGGTAAAGAGTCAAGATCTCAGCCATGGAGCCGTTTGCTGACTCTCAACCACTGTTCAGTTGTAAGAAATTCTGAGGTCTGATCATTTAAAAACCCTGATATTTTGGTCCTGAAGTCAAAGATCCATACTATTCAAAATCCTAAAAGCATTGCCGAGACACAGCACGCATGTTCACAGAAATGATAATTTTAAAAAGATTTCATTCCTTATTTTAAAACACTGTAAACCCTTTCCTTTCTGGAGGCATGCAATGGACCCCCATGAATGAGGCGTGTCCCATGAATAAGGCGTGGTCTGCATTTGGCAGCCATAACTTTCAGTGGCATAGTGATGCCTCTGCATGCAGCCCTTGTGGCCGGAGCTTCTCCAATACCAAGTCAATGTATCTTTTTTTTTTTCAATTGTAGTAAAATGTACATAATACAAAATTGACTACTTTGACCTTTTTAAAGTACGGTATCCAATTCAGTGACATTAAGTACATTCACAGCATGGTGCAACCATCACCGCTATCCATCTCTAGCACTTCTTTATCTTCCTAAATTGGAACTCTGCTAATGAAACATCAACTCCCCATTCTTCCCTCCCCTACTGCCTGGCAACCTCTGTTCTACTTTCTGTCTCCATAAA